GCTTTTGGCCAGAGTAGCCTTTTTGAGAGTATTTTTGTGAAACACGTCCAGATCTCTTTCTCTGTTGACCCTAGTCTCTTCTTTTCATAACATTCAATGAACTTCATCTGTTTTTTAGAAACTGGATCAATATGAACTGGATGATGTTATAAAATAGTCCTATGGAAACCCAGAGCAGTATTACAGTCTTTCAGAGTCTTGAAAGTCGCAAAGGCGTATCTTGTTCTTTTTTCATCTTTTATGTAAGAACCTAATCTGTTCATTTGTCAGATCAATATATTTAAAGAAATTTCTTAGATCTCTTTTGCTAACATTTAAGGACAGATTTTTTTAAGTGAACATAAAATCCAACAGGGGAACAAGAACATGTTCTGGGAGGTTTTGAATGAGACCTTTTTTGAAAATGTCTATCATTAACTTCTCTTGGAGGAAGATGTCCTTCAGCTTTCATAGGAATTTTACCCTTTTTAACCGCATCTCCACCAAACTCACTCCACTCTTGTTCTGAGCCCTGCATTACTTCTATAAATCTTGAACCCATAAAACTTCTATGACATTTAAGACTTCCTGAAGCATCAATACACGAAGCAGATTTTATTATGGCATCACCATTATTTCGGCCATCATGATGTTTTAAGAAAATTACTCTATGCACACAAACCAGAAAAAAAGACATGTACATCATCTTCATTTACTAAGTAAGGCAAACCTCATAGAAATAAGGATTCTCAGCCTTCGATGGCCTTGTCTTTCTTGGCCTTAAATCAAGTCCTGTGCCATTCGTATGAAACCCAGCATCTTGGTTAATTGAAGAGACATATCCAGAATTATTCTCATCTTCTTTCATGGCCTCAATGTAATTAGATAGGCTGCCAACCCTGATGCCCCAGATCAGGGCCGCCCTCTTCCTAAATGATCAGTTTTTTTCATTTCTATAGTTTTCTGCATTTCTGCCTTACTACTAAGAAAGAGTTGTACAGATGAATCCTTGATAAACCCTCCTGAGTGACTTACGGCACGTCTTGCATCTTCATCTGTTGCAAGAATAATAAAAGCCTCCCCAATATCCCCTTCAATTATATGCACTCCTCCATCAAGAATAGTTAATCCTGTGAAGAAGTGATGAATATCCACAGGCCCTGCAATAAAAGGAAGCCCCAGTAAACGGTAACTACAGCCATGCTGAGCTCAAACTATGGCAATAATGACTTTTTCTTTTTATTTCTTGGAGACCTGTTAATTCTTGTTTTTGTTTTTGTTTTGGTACTGGGAATTGAACTTGGGTCCTTGCACTTGTGCAGCAAGCGGCGAAACCAGTGAGCTAAATCCTCGGCCTGGAGACCTGTTAATTCTGTAAAAGCAACTTAACTATCAAAAATGAAGCAACTTAAGATCCACAGTTATGGAAATTACAAAATAGTCTTTTTTGTTCCAAGAGGAAATTCATTATCCTTCTGCATAAAGGAAGTACAAAATCCAAGTAGACATCTATGAAATCCTTCGGGCTCCTCACTGTCAAGATCATGGGAAAGCGCACACACACCACCACATGGAGGTGTTGGTCTGCCCATGCGCTCTCCTAGCATAACCAACACTGGGTATTTTTAAGAAGTTCTAAATGAGAGAAACGCTGAAATTTGAAAAATGACAATATGAGTTCAATCCAAAGTCTGTTCTGATATGACTTAAGTCAGAATTCTGTTTTTAATGGGATATTTGAATGCTGTGTATTCTAGAACTGAGGTCAAACAGCCTTTGGCAGAGGGTGTGCCCAAGTGGTGTATGAAGTGTAGTGGGCTGGTGTGCTCTTCCCATGGACCTTTTCTCTGCTGGTCGTATTTTCAGAGAGGGTGTAAGGAGGGAGGGAGAACAACTGTATTTAGGAATTAAGGGCTGTTGTCTCTTGAAGGTAAATTTTTATGGATGAGAGAGATGATATGCATGTTCAGTCCACTGTCCCATGTATAAGATGACAGGAGCCTCATTTAATTGTGATAAACTTGGCTAAAAAAATTGTTAATGTGCCAGAGCAGTGCTAGGGAAATTTATATATCATATATATTTGGTTTTGTAATAATTTAGTCAAATAGCAGTGACACTAATCTCATTAAGCAGTTTCTTTTTTTGATAAAGATAGTACTTTTGAAAATGACATGGCATTGAGTGATCTTCCAGTGGTGCTAAGGGATGTGCTCTGACTTGTGCACATCTTATCTTCTCTGTGGTCAGTGAGTTTGCACCTGAGAGTCTGATGATATCTGTCAAGTATAATTTCTGGCTACCCAACCTGTGTAACAACAGAATCCAACTCCTTGCTCTCACTATCACAGTTCTCTGAAACACTGGGCAAGCTTGCCGTGGATAAATATAAGCCAATTCAACAAATGTTTAGTAAATGCCTTTTGTGACCATAGATTCTTTCCAACTTCCAAAATCACCTGGGAATGTTGAGAAACCCAGTAGAGACAGAATTTACAAAGGGGATTCCTGTTTGATGATATTTAGGTAGCAACAATGAGCTGTAAAACTTGAAAGGACACCTGTAAAGTAGGTCATGTACTAGGGTTAAAGTTGCCTCTGAAGCTTGTTTCATTGCTTTCTAATAAATAAATAGTTGAAGAAAGATTTGGCAAAAGGTGGAAAAAAATCCTCCCTGTCTTCATTCTCTTAGGAAAGTATCTCCTGTTAACAAGTTATTTGAATGTTTACATTGCCTTAACTGCTTACCAGCGGTGTATGTTAGTTCTTACCCTTGAACCAAGTGAGAGTTCAAATAAACTGAATGAGTTTACCCACAGCAGGGACCTTCTGTCAATGAGTGGTGCCAATATGTATGTCCTCTCCCTCTTTTTAGAAGAGGTCAGCAACAAAAAGTGAGAAAGGCAGCCCATGACCTGATGTCAGTAAACTATAGAGACTTGGGTTTGCCACTTAGATTTTACTGTACCTGGTACAGAGAACACCAGATCCTGGGAGATACTGTTTGGCTTAGTAGAAGTCATATGTAAGGTGTTTTGCTTTGTGTTACTACCTAGTTTTATCCAGGGTTAAAATTAATCTTTCTTTGCATAGTGAGTATGCAGATAAAATTTTCATTTCTTCAGTATCATTAATATGACACAGTTTTTACATTTTGACTGTAGTCATAGGTTCTTTGTCTAGCCCAGGCCGAGTAGGAACATGGGGCAGAATTTGCAGAAATAATAACCAGGTCTAGCGTAATACCTGGTATATGGTAAGTACTTAATGTACTTTTGCTTATTTTTAAAATTATACATATGAATGAATAAATGAGTTCAGAGTTAAATATGTAGCTAAAATACACTAAATTGATGAGATGGTGGTTTTCATTAAATACTACTCTTTAACATCCATCTGGGAAATACATTATATTAAAATATTCCCTTCATTTTAAGAAACATTTATGGAGTGTTTACTTTCTTAAGACAAGGCATTAGAATTTTACAATGTTGAATATGGTATCATTCTTGCCTTTAAAGAGGACAAAGCTATGCAACCAGAGAAGTTCTACAGCAAAGTGCAATAGTAGATACATGTCCAAGTCACAGAGGAAAAAAATCTTAGCCATGTTTCAAGGATGCATGGAGCTTTTTAATTTTACTAATTTTATTTATTTATCTTGTTCATTGTTCACCTCTCTCTCTCTCTAGAATCTAAAATACAAGCTTTTATCTATGTTATTTGTACTTACGTAGTAAAAATTGCTTTATTCCTGGCTTCTGAGAGAGTACCTTGACATCCTCCTGCTTCAGCCTCCTGAGTAGCTAGGATTACAGACATGTGTCCCTAGGCCTGGCTGAGTGTACCTAGCATGTAATAAATATTTAATAAATATTTGTCACATGAATAATGCTTTTGATAGATACTGCCTCCATGAAGAACCTACTGATTTTATTTCCACCAACAATATATCATAGTGATTTATCCCCACAGTCTTGCCAGTGCTGGCTTTGTGGAACATTTTAAAGACACTGCTTTCACCCACCATCCCCCAATCTGTCTTCTGGAGGGATTACTATGCCTTCTGATGGCTCTTCCTCTTTCATGCCTCTCTCATTTTTCATATTCTCCATCAGCTTGTGGTCTTTTTAAAGCATAAATAAGATCACATCACTCTCCTTCTGTAAGTCCTCCAAGGCATTTAGAATAAGTCCTAGAACATTTGTACAGCCTTCAACACTGAATACAATCTGGCCCAGCCTTCCTGTCTGCCTTCATCCCTAACTATTCTTTTCCTGGATGATCCCACTATGACCACTGAATGCCAAATTCAATCCCAGCACAGCCTGGCTGGCACTTAGTACTGTATTCTTTATGTTTGAACAATCCGTGAGCCTGGTCTCTACCTGAGGAAAGGGAAGAAAACCAGAAACACCTGTGTCAGGAAGATGAGGATGGTGGACCCTCAGGTTATGACCAGCCTGACATACGAACAACTTGGGTTAATTAGGTTAATGGAAGATTCATCTGCCTCTTGTTATCTATAGCATGAACCCAGGGAAACATCCCCACCTCAGCCATATTGACTTACCACCAACTTAAGTTACAACCAGCCCTCAGGAACCCATCGAGTTCATAAGTCAAGTGTCCACTGTATCTCAGAAACACTGAACTGGGGTCTGGCACATAGTAAGCACCATGTATTTGTTATAACTTTGTTGTTTGAGAAGAAAGAATACATGTTGGTTGTGCTTAGTTGCTTGTGAGTTGTATAAAAAGACACTAGAGGCAGTTGAATGTATTCATTTGGAATGACTAATTCTCTATAATAAAAGGTATCCTGGTATCATAGGAGAATAAGTAAAACTTCCAACTTTAATTTAGCATCTCAAGATCTAAAGTGCCTAGGTCTTGACAAACACCATGCAGAGCATTCAGGGTAGTGGGCAGCCATCATGCTCAAACTCCCAGTGGTTCACATTAAAGATTTCAGTGGATTTTATGGTTTAGATTTTTTTTTCTTTTTTAATACTTTCTAGTGAGTGAAGGCCTGGGTTTTCTCTGGAAATCTGTCCTACCTGCTTCTATAATCGGGCGCTATGCATCCAGATCTTGGACCCTTACAGACACTACTGTATGTTATTCTTACGATTCTGTGTTCTTCTGTGGTTTCAGGTAAGAGGAGAATGGTGGGGTTTTGGCTGAAGCCTTTCCTCATCTTAATCCTAAAAAACAAATTTTGATTTTAATACTTTGCCAATAATAGCAGTATCTAAAATGTTTCTGAGATTTGCTTGACCGTGTACATTATTTAAAAACTTGTGTAAGCTCGTTAAGGATCTTTTAATAGTACTTTGGGCATTAGGAGGCCGTCTCATCCTTGTTCTTGTAATTTCTTATTCTTATAATTGTCACCATAAAACATTTTCTAATCATGCTTTTTTTTCAGTAAGAGGATATGTTATATGTTACTGATTTCTGAATTTGGAAATGATAGCAGGAATAAAGTGCTAACTACATACCATAAAAGAGAAGATGTAGAATAATGGGATAATGTTCAACTTGGAGCGAGAGAGCTTGGTTCAGATGCCAAGTCTGGCACTTTCTTTCATGACCTCACCTAATTTATTGTGTACTTCTTTGGGTTACTGGAAAGCTTAAATGTGTTTATTGTTAAGAATATATAAGCCCCAGACTAAATACATGGCAACATGTATTTTTTAAATTTTAGACTTATGTAAAGATGTATATACAAATATAGTGATGTTTATTCATTGAGTAGTATTTATTATCTGTTTAAAATCCTGTATAACACTGTTAGATTTGGTAAAGGAAAATTGATTCATTGGTTTTATTTCTTTTATGGTTTTCTAAACAATGACCATAGGTTTAGCCAAGAAGCTTTCTTTAATCTTTATTTCTGATTAAATATTCTGTAAAAGAAGATTGAACAATTTATTATTTTTTTCTTTTAAGTATTTTATTCTATCAAATTAATGGTATTGCTGCTCCCCTCCCTATTTGGGAAGGAGGAAGAGGGGGGTGTGTATTGCTAATCTGGTACAAGAATCACCCTTCCCTACTCAAGTTCCTGCAGGAATAAATATAACAAATGAAACTATTTCAAATGCCAAATATAAATATGAAGCCTTTATACTCAAGAAAGGATAGAGTTTGTATTTCAGTGTGGCTTCCTAACATTCTATTTTCTTAAGAGTTGAGCATTTTATATTAAAATAATGAAGTAGCAAAGTACATAGCCTTTATTTACAGAATAACATCCTATTGTTAAAATAGGAGAGAGTTCTTTTTATTTTGAAAGGCATCTTGTCTTCACTTTCTTAGGTGTTTAACTTCCATGTCTTACAAATCACTTTGTTAAAAGGCAGCTTGGTATTTTCCATTAATAGAATTAGTGTTATATATATTTTTATTATAAGCATTCTTGTCTGTTCTACCTTAATTTTAATGTAAGTCTTAGGCTAACATATTGCTCTGTTTTATTCCAAAAGATGGGCTCATAAAAATTTTGTTAAAATTTTTACAAGTATCAAGAGCTGCCATATATATAGGTAAGATATTGCCTTAGTTATAAAGGTTCAGATGAAATGCATTTAATGTACTCTTGTTTCTCTCTCCTCTTCCTTCCCTTTCTTCCCTTCTCTTTATCCTTTTGCATATGGGGTATGTTCCCTTGTAGACTTGGCACCTTACTTTATTTCTGAGCCACTTTCTACTGACCAGCAGCTTGGTGGACCTGTAATACTACATTGTTCTGCTAAACCCTTGACTGCTCACATCTCCTGGTTGCATAATGGAAAAAGATTGGGTAGAAATGTGGAACAGATTAAGATTCATCAGGGAACTTTGACGATTCTTTCTCTTAACCCCTCCCTTTCGGGTTATTACCAGTGCATTGCCAACAATAGCATCGGTGCAATTTTAAGTGGCCCTGCAACAGTATCCATTGCAGGTAAGTTTCGTTGGGTCCTTGTTATCTGTGGGTTTTCTTGAAGTGACTGTTAGTGTTTGCATTTCTGAGTTGTGGGAAGAGCATGGGCTTTGGTGTGAGACATATATTGGTAGGAGTCTTAAGAATTCTTATTCAGCCTTGACTTGATCATACATATAACTTGAGGAAATATATTTGAAATTCTATGGCCTAGCCTACTATCTTCATTTGTAATAATGGCATGGAAATGATTTTTTTTTAAGCTCCATGATTAAAACAGTTTTCTAATGTGAGTTCTAAACAATTTTTTTGTGATTTCTTAAATGACTATAATATCAGTAACAACAAAAAAGCTGTTGTCTGTTTTGACACTTAGTTATTTCATGCAGTGCTTTATCTTTCTTTTATATCTGATTGTTTTATTTGCCTTGATTATTGAGTGATTTTTAATTTATTTAATTGAAACCAGGCTAAAGAAGCAGGAAAAAAATAACTGACTGTAAAGAAAGGAATTTTGAGTATTGAACATATGGAAAATCTGGAATGTGTGGTTTTTCTTAGTAAGTTTGAGCCATCTGCCTTTCAAATGGTGAATGGCTTCCAGTAATGGAAAACGTCTTGTAAGGGCACCCCTATTTACAGAATAAATTTGGATTCCCCGGGAGTAGTGAGTTTGTCATAACTGAGAAGAGTAAATGTTTTTGTAGAGCTGTGACCCATAGACAGCTCCAAGACACACACTGGAGGGCTGGATTCCTAGTGGCAGACTGCTGAATTCTTTGGGCACTGGAAGATAACACAGAGCCCTTCGTGCAGGCTTGTCTGGAGTGAATTTAAACTGAAAGGGATGGAGACTGAGTTAGTATATTCAAAAAATTTAAATGATATATACTACTTTGGCTTTTGATGACCTAGGTTTATTCCCAGAAGCCATTTTTTTTTTTTCAATTTGAGTAGTCACCAACAGGGGAAGTGACTTTTAATGAGGACCTGGATTGAAAAGGATTTATCATTACAGAATGGGAATAATTATGCTTTATAGTTCTTCCTAGTGTTTTAGACGAAGTTTGTTTTTCTTACAGTCCCCTGAAAACAGTGACTTCTGAAAAGAGTAAGGTAACTTAACTGTTAGCCTTGGAGGTACTACCTCAGCTGCTCTCTCAGATCCAGAAAAATCATGCTACCCTAAGGGCTGAGATTAGCTGTCCAGGCCATGCTGCAAATGTTTCCAATTTTCCAATTTCCCTTTGGGAGAAGTATTCACTTTTGCATGAATTTATTTTATCTATTTCAGTTCTTGGTGATTTTGATTCATCCGCAAAGCATGTTATTACAGCAGAAGAAAAAAGCACTGGTTTCATTGGCTGCCAGGTACCAGCTAGTAACCCCAAAGCCGAGGTGCGCTATAAGATCCGGGGAAGGTGGCTGAAACATTCCACAGGTGAGTCCTGTTATGAAAAGCCAATAGCACACTCAGAGCAAATGCTTATTACATAACCTACTAGTAAGCTCTGTGTGTGCCAGGGACTGTTCATACAAAAATACATCGCATATATTGTCTATAATCTCAGAAGTCAAGTGGAGGAGACTGAGACACATGGCTCTAGTGACATTATACATTATACCACAAGGGCTTGCTCCTGCAATTCATTCTGGTCCCCCTCAGATACTACTTCCTAGGAAAGATAGATGGCTGCATGGACTGCTCTAAAATATTCCTTGTTGCTCTAACCTTTGATTCAACTCTGTTTTTCTTTATAGAATTTACCCCATCTGACATGTCTTAAGTATCTTTTTGCTTGCTTGTTGGCTGTGTCCCCTTTTTCTGCCACCCCTCACCTGTGGAATGTTAGCTGCATGAATGCAGTGCCCTGATATACTTCTACATTTCTGTGTCACTTGTACCTGTACCATGCCTGGCAGAAAATAGCTACCCAGTGTATATTTATTGAAAAGAATGAACGCCAAGTGACTGACTGGTACTACTGGTAGATGTTTGTCAAGGTGGTAGCTGTGGTCATTGTATCTTTGTCAAAACGTACTTCTTATGCTTTCAAACTTTCCATCTACTCAAATGTTTCTGATGGGTTTGATTTTGTTTCACCAGTACTGTTGACCTTTTTTTCTTTTCTGCCTTGACTTTCTCTTTCTTTCATTTAATGCATTTTCCTTAATCACTTATTTGCTGCTGGTCTTATGTGTCTAAATCTAAAGCACAGCGGTTAACCTTTGCTAGTTTTAGTTGTGTCATGATGGTCTTCAGAAAGGGCAAGGCCTAACTGGACTCCTTTCCTTTCTCAGGGAATTATGTAATCCTTCCATCAGGAAACCTTCAGATTTTGAACGTGTCCTCAGAAGACAAAGGAGTATACAAATGTGCAGCTTATAATCCTATCACCAATGAATTAAAAGTTGAACCTGTTGGCCAGAAGCTCCTTGTGAGTCGTAAGTATTTGGGAGAGTGATAGTAACTAGTTCTTCAAAGTGTTGCTCATAAAAGTCGGCACAGGTGAATTTATTTTCTTTTTCTTTTCTCTTTTCAGATCTCGTTTACTTTATCTTAATCTTAGGGACAAAACAAATGTATCAATGAATTATGGAATAGTATCATTTATTTTTAAAATATAAACACTTTATGGCAACGGTAATCAAATGGTGGCTAAATATGAATTAAGAAAAAAAAGATATATCTGCTCTCATTCCTTTCAGATATGACAAAAATCATGGGTAATTTTAGATTGTAAATGTTAGTTGAGGTCACATCAGTAGAGCACAGTAAAGGAATGGTTTCTGGACTTGTTGAGAATTTTACATTTCCAGAGTGCTAATTCAGAAGTAGTTCTAAAGAACCACAAAATCTTATTTTAAAATTTTAAATTCAACTGAAAATGATTTAGCTACCCAATGGGATCTTGTTGGGTATAAAGAAAAATAAGTGGGAACATGAGGATGCTTACAGTGTTGCTAAGGAAGAGACTGAATGTGAATCCGTAGTAATAATATTTTGTGTTCTCTTCTTCTTCCAGGCCCTTCATCGGATGGTTTTCAGATTCTTCACCCCACCCTTTCCCAGGCATTAGCTGTTCTTTCTCATAGCCCTGTAACTTTGGAGTGTGTGGTGACTGGGGTCCCGGCCTCTCAAGTGTACTGGCTGAAGGAGGGGCAAGATGCTGTGCTGGGGAGCAACTGGAGGCGACTGTATTCCCATCTTGCCACAGCAAGCATCGACCCAGCGGACTCTGGAAACTATTCGTGTGTGGTGGGCAACAAGTCTGGAGACATAAAACATGTTACTTACATGGTTAATGTACTTGGTAAGATGTTAATTCTTCAATGTTTTTTTGTTTTATTTTTTTCAAATCTGGCCATTTTCCTGGTCTAACTGATGGTTGAAGGATATCTGTGATATTTGTTTCAGATATTTGTTTCAGGATATTTGTTTCAGATTGAAACATGGATTATCTAAAATATCCACACCAGTAGCCAGAACAGTCATCATTTTTCTCAAGGACCATTGAATTAGGCTGTGTTTCTGACTGGCACAGAACAATGCACAGGGGGTATTCTTGGGACCCTCACCCTTAACCTGATTACTTAATGCACAGCTTGTTCTCCCATCTTTATGACCTGGAATGCAACAGAACAGAAGATTCTGCGATGTATCTACGTGGTATCCTTGTAATAGTAACTGAGACAGAGTACTGGCTAGAAAACATTATCTCAAAAGGGACTCAGTCTGTTTAATTTTTAAAACTTTTTCTCCCTTTGGTATGCTTTCCACCTAGGTTTGGCTCATAAAATTTGCATTATTTTTATCTACATTTTTACATGTATTTCTTATCTGAAAGCTATTTCTTTTTTCTTCTATCAGCTACCTACCTCACTACCATGTAGCAGCAGAAAGTGTTTGCCTTTATCAAAGCAGATTTTCCTGAAAAATGGAAAAAATTAAATAGGAAGTAGTTCCATAGTAAATATAATTTTTGTAAATTTTCTTTCTCATGTTCACTTGTATCATTACCTGATATAGATTAGCAACAAGGAGATGGCAGGAGAATTTTAAAATTCAATGAGAGGGATAGAGGATATAGATCAGTGGTAGAGCACTTGCATAGCATATGCAAGATCTGTTTTTTTTTCCTTTTCTCCTAATATACACCTAATATCAGAGTTGAACTGACCATAAAAAGAATTTAAAATAAAAAATATCTTCTTCAGCTCTTGTTTAACATGAAATCCAGGGAGACTGTTACTTTATTTTAAATTAATCACCCGAAGTAAATGCTAAGAAAAGCCCTGGATTAGAAACTATTTGTGTGTATGTGTGCATATTCATGTGTATTAGGGGAATCAAGTGGGTGGATTGATCTAAAATAGGAGACTATAACTTATTAGTAACATACGGTTTATCCTATTAGTGGAAAGTTAAAATATATTTCTAATTTTTTCTTGATGATCACAGCAGATGGAAGAATGTCAATAGAGAATACAACTTGTTTTCAAGTTGTTATTGATAGAAAGAAGATATTATATGACTTGTGTGATAATTTAAAACATATATCTTGAGGGCTAGACTTTACTTTGTGTGTTTTACTTTCAGAGCATGCTTCAATTTCTAAAGGACTACAGGACCAAAGAGTGTCTCTAGGTGCCACAGTACATTTTACCTGTGATGTTCTTGGGAACCCAGTTCCTAACCGTACCTGGTTTCATAACGCACAGCCTATTCATCCTTCCCCACGACATCTAACCGGAGGAAATGAACTGAAAATTACTGGGGTTACCATGGAAGATTCTGGGCTGTATCAGTGTGTAGCAGATAATAGGATTGGATTTATGCAATCCACTGGAAGACTTCAAATTGAACAAAGTAAGCTTTTAGGTCATGTAATCATAGGAGATTTTACTTCAAAGTAGGCTTTTGTAGTAGCTAAAAACAGTCATTTTTACTAAGATAATTCTATTGCCATGCCAGAACTGTATTCATATACCGTGTTCTTTACTAGTGGCAGATAGGTGTTTCTGTGAAGAAACCACCTTATTTAATCAGGCTTATTAAAAATTTGTTTTTAGGCTGGCAGTGTACCTCATTGGTAGAGTGCTTAACTAGCATGCATGAGGCCCTGGGTTCTAGGCTCCATTCCTAAGATTGGGGGGAAAAAATCAGATGATAATTTTGAAAATTTAAAGATAAAATAAAATAGAATTTAAAAATGTTTTCAACAGATACACACAGTTTTATGGTAAAGTCTCTCACTCATGTTCCACAGCCAATCATGTCCCTGTTTAAAATTAACTGGTTTTATCAGCTTCTAGAATATCCCAGTACGTAGGCATACCTGTAGTTATATACTATATGGCACACACAAGCATGTGTTTGTGTTTATATATTTTATAACATTATCTTCTTTTTCGCATAAATGGTGGTAGCGTTCTTTACCTTGAAATGTTCACCCAGCATGTTATCTTGAATGTCTTCCCATATGATAAATAGAAGAGTATTTTATTCCTTTTAAAAGAATGGCTGTATAGTATTCCATCGTATAGTGTAACAATTTGACTAGTACCTTATTGATGAGTTTCTAATATTTTGCTATTACAAATAGTTCTGTAATGAATGTCCTTCTGCAAAGATTGTTTTGTACATGTGTGAATATCTGTAAGAGATTCCTAGAGATGAACTTGCAGAATAAAGCCATAAATGAGTTTGGAGTTTTGATGGATATTAATGATTGCTCTCCTAATTGTTATGAGTTTTACTCTTGTAGGCAGCGTATATCTTTGCTTCTTTCCTCACACCCTCATCAATGTGGAATATTGTCAGAAGTTTCTTTTTTTTAATCTTTGCTAGTCCAAAAGTAAAAAAAAGGAGAAAGTACCAGGTAGTCTGTATTTCTTTTATTAAGAGTGGAATTAGGTATTGTTTCACATTAAGGAATCATTTAAATTTAGATACCTGTGTTTTCATGTTTCATGGTCTTTTGTCCAGTTTAAAACAATTTTGGCCTTTTTTCTTATTGATTTATCATAGTTCTTTATATATTAGGGAAATTAGTTGTTTATGATAAAAGTTTTAAACACTTCAAATTTAAGAAAATCATTACAGACCACAATTTTTATCTTACTGAAATTAATCTAGAAGTTAATAATAAAAAGATAATTTAAAAACTTGCCCTGTGTTTGGAAATTTGAAATTATACTTCCAAATGGCTGAATTAAAAGAAATCATAGTGTAGATTTAAAATACTTTAAACTGACCTGATAATGAAAATGCTACAGATCAAATTTTGTAGTAGATAACCAAAATGGAATTCAGGAGGAAATTTGTATCCTTATTTGCTTATAACAGAAAACAGAATGAATATTAGTGCGTGAAGGAACAATAGAATAGATTTTTTTTAAAAATAGGAGAAACTAGATAAGGGCACAAATCAATTAAATAGACAACAAAAATAAAAAATAGGATCAATAAATGTAGAAGTTGGTTCTTTGTCAAGACTAATAAAGTGGAAAAATCTTTGACAAAATTAAGTGTAAAGAATCCAGATAAAAATAAATAATATTAGAAATGAAGAGGCTATAAGTACAAGTCTTACAGAGATTAAAAATAATGACTGATAAACTTTACTAAAATAATTTACATAAATGAACAGAAGTGGACTGTGTTAGTTTTCATCACTGTGACAAAATACTTGAGATAATTATGAAGGGAAAGTTTATTTGGCTCATGTTTTAGGGGTTTTAGTCTATGGTCCCTTGGCCTGGCCTTCCCCTGCTTTGGCTCTGTGGCAGCACAGTTGCTCACAGTAGGAGCCATGGTACAGGAGGTCTTTTCACCTCAAATGGAAGCAAAAAGAGACAGGAAGGGCCTGGGATCCCAGTATTCCTTCAAGGCTACACCTGTGATGACCTAACTTCCTGTAGGCCCCACCTCCTGAAGGTGGGGCCAATAGCACCGCAGACACATGGAGCTCCAATGTGTTTGGGGGACATTTAAGAACCAAATTATAGCATGCACAAATTCTGAGGAAAAATGTAACTTAGTAAGTCTGACTTAAATAAAAAGCCTACGAGTCCTCTGTAACTATGAAAGAAATTAAGTTAGGAATTAAAAATCTTCCCACAAAGAAAACTCAAGGTCAGATGGTTTTGTGGAGATTCCACCAAACTTGCAAGTAACAGATCATCCTAAATATTACACAACCCTTCTGGAGAAAAGAAGATAAAAACTCTCTAGTGAGTAGAATCTTGACTTCAAAATCACAAAAGACTGCTATAAGAAAGGAGAATCAGGGGCCAGGGATTTAGCTCAGCCTGCCCCACAAGCGCAAAGACCCGAGTTCAATCCCCGATACCAAAAAAAAAAAAAAAGAAAAAGAAAGGAGAATCAAAAGCCAATCTTCTTTATGAAAATAGGTATATAAATCCTAAACAAAATACTGACTAGCCAGGAATGTGTAAAAAAGAAAAGACATCTGATTGAGCAGTTATACAAGAAATCCCTCAGAAAAGTTAAAGTATTTTTTTAACTTATTTATTAAATAAAGGAGAAAAGCAATATGATTATCTCAGTAGAGGTAGGAAAATATTGTATGTAATTCACTGTTCATATTAGACATTTAGAAAAATTAAAATAGAAGGAACTTTCTTAATTTGATAAAGGATATCTAATAAGAACTCACATGAAATGTCACCTTTAATGGTGAACTATAAGCACTCCCTTTAATATCTCGTCTAGTCATCCTTATGTTGGAGATCCAAACTAGCACAGAAAGACAAAAAGAAATAAGAACTAACATTGTTATTAATTTACAGCCTTGCCATCATAGAATATTCAAATAGTTTGCTGACTGTTTTATATGTCTATTACTTAGAACTAATAATGTTTAGTAAGGTGGCTGGATGAAGACCATAAACAAGAATCATTTGCCTTTCTCTATAATAATAAAATATTTAAAATAACATTTTATATTGGCAATGTTCAAACAGACTCTGTTACGTAAGACATACATACCAGTTCATAGATAGCAAAATTCAGTATTATAGTTATGTAGTCTTTCCATAAATTTTCTGTAAATTCATACTATTCTAGTTAAAATCTCATCTGAATATTTTGAGAACCTTGAGAAAATTATCCTAAAATTTGTATAGATAATCAGAGGCCCAATAATAGCTAAGACACTCTAAAAGAAGAAGAGACTTGCCTTAAATATAAAAAAAAATAGTAATTTAGAAAGCATTATATTGGCTCAGGAACAGATAGACTGTGCCAAAAAGATACTTGCACGTATGGAATTGACTGAACTGGCATTGTAGATCACTGGGGAGAAGATAATCTATTTCAAATTTTGACATGGGATAATTGGTTATCAAAAAGGAGAGAAAAGTAAAATTAAATCTGTAATTCACATGGCATAGAAAGATAAATTCCCACTAGATTAAAGACTTAAATGTAAAAGACAAAAGGAAAAAATATTTTAGGACTATATTGGAGAATATCTATATAATGTATGGGTAAAATTTTTAACAAAATATTTTAAAAGGCTGATTATAAAGATATAATTCATTTCATTGAAATGAAAACATCCTCATTGTTAAAAGACACTATCAAGAAGTGAAAAGAAAATCAATAAACTAGAAGACACTAGTGACATATTTAACTAAGCAAGAGAATAGTTATCTGCTGTGTACAAAGAACTCTGAACCATTTTACAAAAAGAAGTCCCCACAGAAAAATCGACAAAAAACATTTCACAGAGTAGAGAAAATATGAATGTCACATAAACATATGAAAAGATGTTCATCTTCATTAGTAGTTCTGGAAATGCAGATTGTGACTAGTGAGATGGCATTTTATACTGGTGAAAATTCAGAAATCTGAGAAGATCAAGTGTTGGTTTTATTAGATGTGGGAAGTAGGTTTTGAGAAAAACAGACATGATGGAGAAAATATCTTTTGTGTTAATCAGTATGTCATTGTAGGCTCAATTAAAAATACCTCCAGAGAATACCAGGACCAAAAGGAAAGACTTAGTGAGACTTTAATTTAGAAACAAAAATCTTTATGTCAATAGTAAGAAAAAAGTTCAACTTTTACTTAAAACAGGAATTTCTTCCTCCCAGACCTTTTATAATCAGATTCCCAAAGAATTGAAGATGACTGATCTAGTTTTATACTTCTTTACATCTTTTTCTTGTTAAGGCCTGAACTCCATTCTGTATTTACAATAGTTAAATATATATAGCTAATGGAAGGCTCTTGAGAGATTTCTTTCTCCCTGTAGTACAGGAATTCTATGTAGGGAATGTGTAGGAGCCTACAGCTACAAACAATTCTGCTTTATTGACAGTTTTACTTGGTGGAAATTGAGAAGATGACTAAGGAAGGGGAGGTATCATTGTTCTAATAATTTCTCTCATATCCTATTTCTGCAATCAGATGAAATTATTTTGTGGTGTAAATAATATTACAGTCTAAAATTTTGGTATGTGAATTATTTTTTAATAGGCAATGGATTCAAGCCAGTTATAATCACAGCACCAACAAGTGCAATGGTGTCAGATGGAGACTTTGTTATGTTGTCCTGCAATGCCACTGGAGTGCCAGTCCCAGTCATTCGCTGGTATGATAGTCGTGGTTTGATAACCAGTCATCCATCTCAAGTCCTTAGGTCCAAATCCCGAAAGTCACACTTAGTAAGACCTGGAGGCCTTGACCCAGAGCCTGTCTACTTCATCATGTCCCGAGCTGGCTCAAGCTCCCTCTCCATCCAGGCTGTCACTCAAGAACGTGCAGGGAGATACATCTGTGAAGCGATAAATGATTATGGCACCACACGGTCAGAAGCGTTTCTCACAGTTGGTGAGTTGCCTTTTTTGTTTTAATTGAGTAATGTCCTTTCGTAGTAGGGGAAAAGATGGTTTGAAATATGTTATTTTAATGAATGCAGTAATCTCTAAATACATATATTTTGCCCTAAGACAGTGAAATATAAAACTGAATTTTGGGATATTTTGCAGTACATGAATCAGGTGAACGTTGGTCTTCATTTCTGATGTGTACAAGTATTTTAAACTTATCAAATAGAAAGCTCTTCTTTAGAAGTATGTTCAAAATATATCCTGTCTTTCAGAGTAATACTTTTGGCTTTCTAAGCTACTGAAAATTTTACTGGGGGCATTTTTTATATCAGCTGTTGATAAGTACAGTATTCTAAGTCTGTAGGGTTAGCCTTCATTGAGAATGTAGACTTGGGGTCTTATCAACTAATACCTGTATGTATAGTAAGTCCCTGACTTGTGAACATTTTAGTTGTGAACTTTCATAGGTGTACTGTATAAGCTTTACAGGTGTACTGTGTAAGACTTACTTTGTCAGATTACAGACGAATCTGACTTACAAATATTCTCCCTTAATAGAACTTGTTTGTAAGTCAGGGACTTGCTGTATATATTTCCCCTGTCTTACCCAAAGTTATTTCTCTAATGAGATGTATACTATTACTTGTTTATGTTCTACTGATTTTTCATGATGATGACTTAAAAGCTATATGATTTTTGAAGTACTGCCATATAGAATATCCATCATAATTATTTAAAATTAACTCGAAGTTGCCTTGATTAAAATTCAAGCCTTCCATCAGTGGGCATTTAGAGTAGTGTTTTCCAGCAACTACTCAGTCAGGTAGAGATTGTCGCTGTATTTGTCTTGTGAGAGGCAGAATATCCAGTACTGCCTTTAGTGGTGGGCAACTTGAGCTCCCTGCCCAAGGTCTCTGCTTTAGAGGGCTTTTTGTGGCCCCTTTCTTCCTGGATCCTCAGTCCCACAGGTCAGAGAGCCCATAGATTCCAGGTCAGTGCTTATCCTGATCCTGGAGACCACATTCATCCTTCTGGATAGCAGGTTGGGGGCTTCAGAATTCCCGGCTTTAATTGCATTGTGGTCTGGTTCCACTCAGGTCTTTGTGCAGGCCAGTCCTCCACAGTGTGAACTACCATGGCAGTGTGTGGGCACCCTTAAGACAGAGGATGGGCCACTGGGTACACAACATGTACATAACCTACTTCTTTGCACAGGACTCTGAGCCATATTAAATTTTAGCATACTGATAGTTTCTTTGTTTGCTGTGAAGGCAAGAGGAAATGAGATCAAAGACAGAGGTGACTCCCTCCTTTCATTTTTTCCAAGAGGCCTTGGGTTTTTTAAGTCCTGGATGTACAAATATTTGTGGAGTGAGTTGTAACTGTTCGAAACTATTGTGAGAGCTGGCCTAAGTTTCCTAAACAGGGTAGTGGGTGTTGCTAGTGTGAGTCCTCATGGTGGACACATCTTGGACAGATGTGGTTATATCCTACTCCATATTTAATTAGTTTCAGCTGAGCCACTAAGTTCATTTACATTGCCATAGTTTCATTGATCTCTTCTAATTAAAAAATAATTACCTTAAAAATGCTGGATGTCTATTCTACCTGTTTCACAGAGTTGTTTTGAAGATAAGTTGAGAATGCATGTGAAAACACTTGAAATTAGAGGTGGTCCCCAATTTAAGATGATTCCAATTACAATTTTTTGAACCTTTTGATGATGTGGAAATGACACATTCAGTTGAAACAATGCTTTGAATTTTGTGCTTTTCCTTGGCTAGCCGTAAGACATATATACTCTTGTGATGCCATAGATCCCAGTCGCCATACTCTGTCATGTCCAGTAGGTTAGGAGAATTAAATGCACTTTCAACTTAAGGATATTTTAATTTTTTATTATTTATTTATTTATTCTTAAGTTCTTTTATTGGTACATTTTAGGTATACAATACGTTTACATTTATCATTGAGTGTTTGTACCTGGTGGAGGGGTGAAGGGTGCACAGGTAATGGGGAAAAAATAACTTAATGATTTTTTTTGTATTAAATTCTTTTATTGGTACATTGTAGGTATACAACACAATTACATTTCGCATTGGAAA